CACGTATTTGTCCAGTTTGGTGCAACTTCTGGTACTAGTTCAATGCAGTCCAATCAGTCCGCTGAGGGTATACCCCAGTGGCAATCTGTATTCTTCGGATTTTTCACTTTTTCACTGTGAGTCTTGGAGTGCTTGTATACAGTGAGAGTCTATGGTGTATGTTGTGTGTTGTTGCTGTCATGCTTGACCAGCCTTCTAGCTCCACCTCCATCTCCCACCATCTCTCTCACCTTCTCTCTCTTCTCAGCAGGATGAGATCCGCCATCTCCACAGAATCTTGGCGAAGTGACGACATAAACGAACGTGGCCCCAAACATCACTACACTGGGAAAACGCTATGGGCATCACCATTGTTGGCAACACACACGCTTCGCTCTCATAGCAGACACGCACGAACTGCGGATGCATGGACGGGGTTCACGCGGAGCTTGCCAGTGCATTGCAGAAGCGTAGGGGCTAGAGGCAGGCAACACTGTGGATTGGACTTCCCGATGACCTTCTAGCCAACAATGCTTGGTACCCAACACTCTTCGATTTTTTAGAGTGCTTTGAGGGTGCAAAATGACAGAACGAGTAATTCAAGAGTGCAAAATGACAACACGAGTGCTTCGAGTCTGCAAAATGACAGCACGTCGATCCTGATGTCAGGTGCTCTCAATACATGTACGCCTCCCTCAGGCTGAGCGACCGGGACCGAAGGGGGATTCTCGAAACCCTTGGTGCCTTTTAACCACCTAATCATTTGACCATCCCGATGTATTGCCTAATTGGTCCTCGACGAGACACCCTCCCACCTTACTCGTCATCATGATCCCCGACGCATCCCTATTCCCAAGGTTCTACCTGAGTATACTAGGATCGTCGCCCATTCTAGTGATTTTTTGACCAGGCAGCGTTTATATGCATCAGGGCTAAGCAGGTTCTCACCTCCGTCCCCGACACTGATTGAAGCACTATCGAACGAGCCACGTCGTACCGGGCACTTCGAGCACTAGGGGTAAGCATGCCACTATAAGTCCTATTGGCGAACCCTAGTTTTTTCCTGTTTNTAAGCATGCCACTATAAGTCCTATTGGCGAACCCTATTTTTTTTTTTTTTATATATATATATATATATATATATATATATATATATATATATATATATATATATATATATATATATATATATATATCTTTGTTCCTTATCAGCACCGGATCCCTCTGGTTATTATTCTTTGAATTCTTGAGGAGGTTATTCGAACCTATAGGATCTTTAGTTTTCGTCCTCAGTAGGCTTACAGCCATCATCCGCTCCCCATACCTCTATCATGTCTTAGCAGCCCCCAGAGTAGCTCCTTGCGAAACATCGTGGTTGTACGCAATCTCCGCGTGGGTTAAGTGTAAGTCTCACTGTTGGTCCTCCCTAACAAACTTTCGGAGGATATTACCGAGAGTTTTTTTGGTGACCTCAGTCTGACCATCCGTCTGAGGGTGGTAAGACGATGAGAAGCGGAGTTGGAATCCGTACACCTCGTGTAGGCGTCGCCAGAATATGCTGGTGAAGCGCGGGTCACGGTCGGAGATGATGCTCTGAGGTAAGCTGTCATCTCTCACGACTCGGTCGAAGACGATGTCGACGACCTCACGAGCACTAATGCGATAGCGGCACGGGACAAAACGTGCACGCTTCGTGAAGCGATCGACGACGACCAAGATAGCATCATGACCGCGCTCAGTGGGTGGGCGGAGGGGACCAATGAAATCCATCGAGATGGACTGCCAACGACCCTCAGGTATGGGTAGGGGGGAGAAAAGGTGATTAGATGATGGGGGAAAAGAGAAAGGGGTTGGGGGGTAGTAGGTTAATGGTAGGAGGGTGATACCAGACTCTTGGGTGGCCAAGAGCAGGGTTCTACCAAGACCCACAGGATCTTGGCCTTCAAAAAGGCTGATGGTCTGATGCCACAACAAAACAAAAGCGATGCTGATGATCTAGGGTTGGCTGAGATCTTGATCAGCCACCCGAGTGCCACAGTCACACATCCCCCCAGCCAGGGGGGAGTCTTGAGCAGTTGCCACACTGTTGCTGCAACGAGTAGTAGTAAAAAAAAATATGTATATGTCTGTGGTGCAGCCCCCTAGCCAGGGGGGTCTTCAACAGGTGTCCATGTGGCACTGCGGATTGCCACGTCTGCA